ATGGGGTCACTTGTGCGTATTTATGTTATACATGTATGCACACATGTGTATACACACAGCTTTCCCTGATGCTAAAGCATGGGGTTGGTTGTTCATTTCATTTCTACCCTGCTATTGTCTCCTGAAGCAGTTGGGAGATTGGCAAGGCCTAAAGCTTCTTTCTTATCACACTCACTCCAGGGGACCTGCCACAGCCCTGTAGATCTGGGCGTCACAAATACACACCGGGCTTCTTTCCCACGGCCAGGATATTCATGGCCGTGCTGTGTGCACCTGTATGTGTGCCGCAGGAAGGGCCTCTTTTCTGAGCAGAAAGGCTGGACTGGCCTTACACTGTGATGGGCTGAGGTTCCGTCACACACATCAGCAACACTTGTACCCCAGCTTCTGTATTTTCAGTCAGAAACTGAAGCCTGAGGCGGGTGGGGGCTGGCTCAAGGACACGTTGATGTTCAGTTCAGTTGCCCTGACTCTTGAAGAGCGCATCTTTCCTCTCCTAACTTATACCCAAGTCCGTCCCAAGAAACAGCGTTGTACTTAGAAAGTGTGGCCTCAAGAGCTGTCTTGCCAGAGGTAAGTTCCAGCTTGTCCACTTGCTGTCTCTGTCTAGGCAAGTGAGTAGTGAGGAGAGTCCTTCATGCCTCACATCCCCATCTGCACAATGGGCCGCTATCCAGAAAGCGCTTCGCACAGTGACTAACACGGAAACAAACTCTTTGTTGTCATTACTAATATTTTGTTTTATTATTATTCCTTTTTCAATGAGAAAGAATTAATTGATCACAATGTGTCCTTTCTGCCCCTTAGTTCTGTAACCTTCCCTGAGGTACAGTTCTGTGTCCCCTCCCCTTATCCACACACAAGCCTCTGGAGTTGGCACTAATGCACTGTTAACTATTGTTTTCCTAGTTAAGGCTCTCATTATGGCCACCATACCTGGGTCTTTTTGTCCCAGCCTAATGATATGAACACCATACAAACAGACTCTGAAATCTGGACAGATCCCTCTTTCCAGACCCAGCTCCCTGTCACATGAGAACACATGTGGACCCTCATTCAGAAATGGATCCATGCTACATTTGGGCAGTCAAAGGAATGGGCCTTGCTGGCATCTCTCTCTAATTTGCTGTCTCGCAGAGCTTGGCATAGATTGCACTGTAATTCTTCTCCCTTCCCTTAGGGATGGCTGATTTACACATAAGTGAGGGAGAAGGGTAACCCAAGGCCAAGTTTCCCTTTTATGAATTACAGGGAATTCTTGTAAAGGTTACTTTAAAGGAAGCGTCAGACATTCAGCCACACAAACTTTCATAGTGATCTCTCTCTCTCTTAAAAAAAAAAAAAAGTCATAGGTTTACAGAACTACCTCTCCTGAGCAAGAGGATTGTATGGAAAAGCCCCTAGAACAGACCATTTGTTCTGCTTTCCTGCCACATCCGTCCCAACCCACTTTGAGACTCATCCAGAGAGCCCCAACTTAGTAGACAGAGGAAGCCAGAGGCTATTCAGTACTAGAGCTGGACTCAGGGCACCAAGATCTAGCCAGGCAGCTGGGCTCCCATAATGGCGAATCAATCCCACACCAATTGTGTTGTAAGGGGTTATTTATTTTGGGGGGTAAAACTTACATACACCATAAACCGTCAGGAAGGGAGCCTAGTCGCTGGAGCAGGAGCCGGAACCAAGCGCCAGAACCAAGAGGCAGAGCCGAACTTGCCGCTCTTCTTTTAAAGAGAAATATACCACGCCCCAGTGGGCTGGTATTTCAGCGGCTATTGGCTGATGGAGCAGAGCTGAAGACGCTTCCACAGCACTGTAAGCTCGTGCTTCGGCGACTATTGGCTGAAGCAGCAGCGGAAGATGCTGAAGCAGCAGCAGAAGATACTTCCGCAGCACTCCCACACTGAGGAACCACCTGGTACAGGCAGAGTAAGGACCGAGACAGTAAAGGCTCTTAGCTAAGGGTATACAGTCAGGCATAGGACTTCAGCGGTCAGGGCAGATGTGGGAAGCAAGGATGCAAGTTAATTCATTGAGTGCCAGACCCATTTTATATGACAGTGATAGATGAGGGGCTTTTACATCTGGTCACAATATCCACAAAATTCACTACTCCCCCTACTTCACTTTTGGTCTTTTTGGTCAGCTGACCTTAGAGAAAAAAGCTTCTTTGTCCACTGCCATGCTGACTCGGTGTGGTCCTGAGACTCCCTTCTCCCTCTCTCTCTCTCCTCCAAGGTGAACAAGGCTCTGAAGCAGAAATCAGACATCGAGCATTACCGGAACAAACTGCGCCTGAAAGCTAAGAGAAAGGGGTATTACGACTTCCCCGCCGTGGAAACAAGCAAAGGCCTGACAGAAAGGAAGAAGATGTATGAGAAAGCTCCAAAGGAAGTGGAGCATGTTTTGGACCCAGACCCAGAAGTGTGTCCTCCCTTCGCAGAGTCTAAAAACAGGTAGATGGCATACTTTGTATCCCCACATCACATGTGGGATGAGGGCACCTTGGGCATTGTACCCATGCTCCCTTGATCTCACCTTGGGACTTTGATCTTTGCAAGCTTTTGATCTGGGCCCCACACGCATGTGCTCAATAATGAGTCTGAAGGAGGGTCAAATTGAAGCTGGTATAAAAAAAAAAAATCTGGGGCAGACAACCCCACTTGTCCTTTAGTTTAATGATACTTTCAAGCTGTGGCTATTTCAGAGCTGGGTGAAATGTAATTATCGCCTGCCTAGTGATGCAATTCCAGATCAAGGGGCATTGCATTGTTCAATTATGTGAGTGGTCCCTGCCCAGGAAGGCAAATTCCATGCCTCACCCTTCCCTGCAGCTTTAGTCAGTGCCTGCCACAGTGAGACTCAGCACTCCGGGCCAGCTCGTCTCATTCATTCACAGATCTGCTTAGTTATCTGACACTTGTCGTCAGCTGTTGAGTATCAGACAGTAGTCAACGTGGCGGATGCTGGATGGAACTTCAGCTCTGAGAAAAGAAAAAGAGGAACCCCCAAAAAGTGTGACCACAAACCTGAGGGGCGTGCAGCGTGAGCTGCTGTAGCTTCAATGGGGTCTGGCCCACTGAGGTCGAGCTAGGCCAAGTGGTTTGAATTGCTGTCTCCCTACCGGTTCTTCGCTTCTGTAACAAAATACCTGAGATCTGGCAACTTATAATCAGCTGGAGTTCATTTTCTAACAATTTTGCTGGCTAGGAAATTCAAGACCAAGGTGCCAGAATCTGGTAAAGGCGTTAGCACATGGTGGAGGATGGGAGGGCAAGGAGGAAGATGCGGGCTGAACTCACTCTTCTACAGTGCGCTTTGTGTTAGTCACTGTTCTATTGCTGGGACAAGACACCATGACCAAGACAGTTTCTAAAAGGAAGGATGTAGCTGGGGACTTGCTTAGAGTTTTAGAGAGTTAGCCCATGATCATCATGGCAGGAAGCAGGCCGGCACAGTGTCGGAACAGTAGCTGTGGTGCTTTATGTCTGATCTGTCAACAACAAGCAAACAAAAAGAGAGAGCCTGGGCCTGGCATGGGCTTTTGAAACTTCAAAGTCCACTCCTAGTAACACACTGCCTCCAACAAGGCCACACCCACTCCAACAGGGCCACGCCTCCTCATCCTTCCCCAACAGTTCCACCTACTGGTACCAAACAATCAAATGTATAAGCTTATGAGACTAATCTCATTCAAACCATATCAATGATGTGCCCCCATGAGTCTCTGTGGCCCCATCACTGACCAAAGGTTCTGCATCCTAACACTGATAAAACAGCAATAAATTTTAATTAAATATTTTCTTCTTATTCATTCATGCATGTAGTACAATTGGATCCAAACCACCATCCATTTCTTTTTCTCTAACTCATTGCCATCCCCCCTTTTCATTTGAACCTCTGTGCTCTCTTTTTCTTTCTTTTTTTTTTAAATTTAGTATTCTCTAAGTCCATTTAGTGCAACCTGTGTGTGTATGGGCGTGGAACCATCTATGGGAGCATGGGTAGCCTGCATCCCTGAAGAGAAGTGACTCGCCCTCTCCCATTAGCTAGGGGTGGGACTTTATGAGCCTCTCCCATTCTGGGATTTTGGCTGGTTTGATCCAGTACAGGTCTTATGCCTGCAGGCATGGTGTTTGTGAGTTCATGTGTGTGACTTGCACTGTCATGTCTAGCAAATATCACTTTGCTACAGATACCTGCTACCTCTGACTCTTAGCATCTTCCCACCTCCTCCTACTCACTGAGGGAACTTGGTGTGGTGTAGATGCACCGTTTAGAGATGAGCACTCTGCAGTCTCTTTTCTCTGCATGCTGACTGGTTGTTGGTCTTTGAAGAGAAGCTTCTCGGAGGATTTCTGAGTGATGTACTAATCCATGAGTCTGAAAATAAGAGCTCATGACTCTGGGATGGGGAGAGAGCTTAGTAGCTGAGAGCCCTTGCTGCTCTCCCAGGGCGCCTGAGGTTGGGTCACAGTACTCGTACAGCTGTTCACCCTCATCTGTAACTCCAGATTCAAGGGCTCTAATGCCCTCTGGCCTCTGTGGGCACCAGGCATGAATGTGATACACATACACACAGTAGAACACTCGAACACATAAAAAGAAAGTGGTGAGAATAGTTTTTAAAAGAACTCAGGGATTAATTTATTTCTATGTCCATTTATCAGAGTAATAGTACAAGGTTCTCCCTGTAGGAGCTGGGACTAAGCAGCCACGGGTTTTTGGCACAGTTAAAGACACCAGACTTGGGGCCCATTTTATGCAATGGGCTTTAAATCCAATGTGTGTGTGTGTGTGTGTGTGTGTGTGTGTGTGTGTGTGTATGTGTGTGTTTGGTTCCTCTCATGCCATTTTTGCCACTGTTGTGCCAGTGCACATATCTTGGCAGGTCAGTCATTATCGTACCTTGAGTGTTCCCAGCCGGCTAAGACTGATGGTGACCCCTCCCCCAGTGTCTGTAGACCCTTCCAGCTCTATGAAAGTTAACCATAGGAATGAAGCTTCCAGGAGCAACCAAATTTTAATGTGAATTTTAGAAAAGGAAAACATTCAAAGCATGACAGCTGTCTCCAAGCTCTGTGGCTGGCTAGGCAGTGACCTCCCCTAGTGGGCAGTGAGGGGAAGCATAGCAAAGCTTGGCATGTCCACCTCTCTTCCTTTCTTGCCTGCCTGCAGCACTTCCCTAATTTGAGACTGCCTCTTCCCAGGGTGCGGTTTCCTTGATGATCCCCTGACTTTGGGCATGCTGATACTCCAGCTACCATGAAGCCACGGCAGGTGCATGCTCCACACACCAGAAGCAGCAAGGCAGACCCTGGCCTGAACGGTATTTGCTTTAAAAGCAGAAAAAAAAATTACAACAATACCATTTCAACAGAATTGGGTAAAAGCAACGAAACCAAGTTGGGAACTAGGAATAAACTGAACCAACATAATGTATATTCAGTAAAGAGAAAAGGGGGGCGATCTAAGCCAGGGCCCCATTTGTCAGGCTTGCCCGACTAGAATGACAAACCAAAGACATAAAATCACAGCGTGACAGGGTTCACGAGGCACATGTCACCATGTCAATAGCTGTGGGAGGAGGGAAAGAAAAGATATGGATTTGGCAAGGAGGCTGGTAGCAATTTTATTTTGCACTTTGCTTTTGAGGACTCTGCTTCAGGGCTCTCTGGCGGACCAAGGTGGGGGCTCTTCTTCATGGCTTCCTTGCCTGAGAGTCACCGGAGAGACAACAACACTTTCAAGGAATTTTTTTTTTCAAAGCTTTTCCCTGGGAGCTGTGTCTAGACTCTTCAACATAAGTTCAGGCTGGCTGCCTAAGGTTCCATGATGGGCCTGCTGCTGCTGCTGCTGCTGTGTGTGTGTGTGTGTATGTGTGTGTGTAGTTATCTCTCAGCAGGTATTCATTGAAGAAATGATTCATTGTCTCTATAGCACTAAAAAGGATCCGAAAAATCATTCAAGTGTTCGCTACTTAAGGATAAAAGACAGCCATGAGCTAGAGGGGTTTGGGCGAGGCAGGAGAGAGACCGGAAAGATAAGAGCTGCAGAGTGGCCTAACAGAAAAGGCGGGCCTTAGAGCTGCGGCCCGGGGGTGTGGCTCCAGATGGCCGCGTGCTGTTTAGCTGTTGTCAAGGGTTGGAGTTGCCTGCCAATTGCTATTCACAGCACAACCCTCAGAAAGTCGGCCGTGAGCCACCCAGCTAGAACAGGGCACTGTGAAGCAGTCATTGTCTGGTGTGCAGGGGCATCGTTAACTTCAGAGCAAAGAAACAACAAAAAGAAGCAAAACTGAGATTCTAATGTTAACTGATCACTAAATCTTTCAAAGTACTTTTCAAAGTCCTTTTTTCCCCTAAAGTTGGTTAAAATTTTACATTGTGCTCTCTTGTGGAGACATAAAGCAGACAGCCTGTCTGAGGCACATGCTGTCTGTGGTCGGATTTATGTGCTCAGCCACCTTAACGCCGGCTGTCTGCAGCCTTTGTAACCCCTTCTTCTGGGATTTCTTGCAGAAACCAAAAATGCTGTGTAGCTAATGTGCTGTGGTGCATCCTCAGCCGACACCAGACTAGAACCGATAGGTCAGTGCCCTGGCAAGGGGTTCTGGGGTGTCAGTAACGCTGTGGTACTAGCCATAGTTTCTGGTTTCTATGTTTGATACTAATACAGGGAGCAGGGGAGAAATCACCTCGCCTAAGATTACCCAATGTCTGGTGACAAAAGGCACCTGCAAGTGTGTCTTCCAGTCGGAATCCCATACCTCAACCACATCCTTTACATGGCTCCCGGGGCTCTCGTGCTAGGCCAGGATCCACCCTCCCCAGTCAAGAGCCAAGAGCCAAGCACTCGACAAATGAAGACCACCCTTGTGCTTCTGGAGTCTTCCATAACCATCCAACAGCTGCTTCCCTGCTTTGCCCACTGCGTCTCTCAGAAGCCACGATTTAAAGGCTTTTGCTTACTTTCCCTCTGCCTTCCGACCAGCCTGGTCCCTGTGTGTCCCTCCCTTGTCCCCCTCAAGGCCAGAGTAAACTGTCTTTTCAATGGTAGGCATCTCTTGCCGTGGAACAGTAATAATTAAAACACCATCCCCCACCCTTTCCCGGTGCGTCTGAGCCCCAGGCACCCTAACTATGAGTCAACTCTTTATTTACCTCTGTTGACTTTCATACATCCTTTCCTTAGCTCTCCACTCCCTGGCTGGTAGTTTCTAGAATCACCTTGAAAATAAACCATCTGCATTCAAACCCTCAAGGGTCATGCATCTATGGAGCCAACACAAGGCAGTGACCCATTCAGCAATCTCTTCAGAATTGCTCTGACAGAGCCCACCATCCTCCTGCTCAGCAGCTTAGGCTATCTCTACAGAACCCCAGGGCTCCATAGAATAAATGGTTTGAAACTGCTTTCTTAAACTCTATTGGGAGGTAAAAGATCTTAAGGGTTCAAGTCAAGCACATCATAACCCACCCAGCATTATTGTCAGAGGAGCAAAATCCCCTCAAATTGACATGTTATAAATTATAGCAAAATAAGAACAAGTGTGCCTAGTAGAATCGATTGATTAAAATAAGCATCTCTTTACAGGACAGCCTGATTTATCACCAGGTAGACAATCACACACCAGGCAGACATCCACATTGGAAGTCTGGTCATTGAAACATGTTAAATAACAGTCTTTCGGTTTGCATAGCAAACTATGGAGGAGGCGCAAAGCAAAGTAACAGTTGTCTAAGATGTGCAAGACCTTGGGTTCAATCCCTAACATTGTTAAAAATAAAAAATAAAGAAAAAATGTTAGCTATCAAAATGCAGTGCTTTAGCGGAATAAACCAGTGGGTACTCCAGTGTCTAAACTTTTTGTTTGTTTGTTTGTTAGTTGAGACAAGGTTTCTCTGTAGCTTTGGAGCCTGTCCTGGAACTAGCTCTTGTAGATCAGGCTGGCCTCAAACTCGTAGAGATCCGCCTGCCTCTGCCTCCCGAGTGCTGGGATTAAAAGTGTGTGCCACCACTGCCTGGCTAGTGTCTAAGTTTTTAACATATTCATGTTCCTTACTAGGATATATCTAATACTTATGAAATAGCCTACTGCCAACTGCTAATCTGCCTGCTTATTCCACCCTGTTCTTATTAGCAAATCTTTTTTAAATGGGCTAATTGACAGTGACTGAGTAGCTATAAAGTATGATATTTTTCAAAAATATAGTTGTAATTGAGTTAAGAATTTGAATTCTTTGGGGTCTGCTCTAAGGTCTGAGTCACTCTGAATGTATTCGGCCTTATCAGCCTGCTGTGTCCGGGCTCCTTTCCTAAAGGATGCCGCTAGTTGCAGACAACCGGGGGGTACAGTTTATGATGTGAGGTTGTAAGCCACTGTATGAGCCAGGATCCTTTTGATTACTGACAACAGAGTCCAGCAAAAACTGGTTAAACAAAAGGGACTGTAGTACCAAGCATTAGTGCAAGACCAGACCTTTCGTCTGGCTAGATCAAGGGAACCTTACTGATTGTGGTTTTGCTATCTCTTCCCTCTTTCCCAGCCTCTTTTGGAGGCAGGCTAAAACCTCATGCAGACAAAAACCCAGCTGTCAGAAACTGCAGGTTTGTGTCCCTCAAATATAAGAGTCCCTTTCTCTTAGTTGTCCTGGCTATAGCTCTGAGACTCAGTCTCATTGGACCCAATATAAGTCATGTGCCCACCCCCTGGCCAATCACAAGGACATAGGGACATGATCTTGAGGTAGAACAATCTGAATCAACACCTACCCCTGCAGGAAAGGTAGCCCCCAAGAAGCACCATGCTACACTTACCAAGAGAGTAAGAATCATAGGCCAAGGCTGGAAAAAGTACAGATTCTCTTAAAATCAGTGTGTTTCCTGGTGGTGACAGAGGTCTAAGAGCGTCTGCTGTGTTCATGGCTGAGTGCTGGGGTGGAGCCTTGACTTTAAGTTCTTGCTGGATTGTGTGTGACTGAATGCTATAAGCACCTTACTGTGTTCATAAAATTGTGTGTGTGTGCTCGCGCGTGCACACACGTGTGCATGTGCACGCATGTACCAGATCTTTACCTCCAAACATGAATATCTAGAATCCTTGAACTAAAACATCTAATAGGTAATGCCTAGGGGTTCTTTGAAGATGGTCTGGAGGCATATGTTATTTTGAAGATGGTCTGGAGGCATACGTTATTTTGCTGTCTTTTATGCCCCTTGTCATTCTGCGGAATCCCATAGAAGTCAACTGTGCTTAATGGCTCTCACTCCTGCTAATAAAAGTTGCCACTTGTGGTGGGGGGAAGCATTTCAGCATTCTCTTTATGTGGCTATTTTCTGTCCCCTCTGACAATGTCCTCCGATGACAAACAGATACAAGATGGTGGCAAATGTCTGAAACTTTGAGAAGCAGCTGAGTTGACACCTTGAACGAACTCCGGCTACCTGAGCCTAGGGAGCTCCTTGCTCACTTCAGGGCTGGATCTATTTAGAACTCAGATAAAGGGTCACCTCCTTGACTCTTCAGCTTCTTATTTTTTTCATCTGTGTGTGTGTGTGTGTGTGTGTGTGTGTGTGTGTGTGTGCATGCACACGTATGTGCCTTTGGGTATCGTCCTTCACCCACTGTTTGTTAAGACAAGGTCTCTCATTGTCTTGGAACTTGTCAAATAGGCTAGCCTGACAAATAGGGAACCCCAGGAATCCTCCTGTCTCTTCCTCCCCAGTGCTGAGATTACAAGTCTATTCCACTACACTTGGTTTATTATTATTGTTATTGTTATTATTATTATTATTGAATATTCTGGGTGTTGAACACAGGTCCTCATATTAGCAAGACAAACACTTTACTGAGTAAGCCACCTCCACAACCCTCCTTATTTTTACTAATAACACTAATCACTCTGAAGTTAGCATGTCAATTGTCTCCCTCATCGGGATACAAACAGTAGAAATACCAGGATCATGGATGCTCAGTTTCCAGGTACTTAGCACATACTAGGCACTCGGTAAAAAAAAAAATGAATAATATTTTTTAATTAAAAAATTGGTGACTGGTTTGCTGGCTAGCTGAATATGACCCAAGTTGCCTCCAGTCTTATTGTCTTCGCCAAGGAGAGAACCTACATGGTAACTATAGAAAAGAAATTGATCAACAATCATGGCATTAAAAGCGGACCATTCTATAGAGGCTTCATTTATAACACATTATAGGTGTCCACACCTGAAATCTAAAAGATGAAGACGAAACAAGAGGCTGCTGAGTCAACAAAGTCAGCAAAGGCAAGCTTGTTCTGCAATGCTAGCTGTCCTCGAAGGTCAACAGAGAACCCTTGGCCTTGCCATCAGCAGAATTTTAGATGAGGTTGCACTGGTCCGATTGATTGTCATTGCCTAATTTGATATGAAAGAACACGTAATTCAGCCAAATAGTTATAGCATCTTGAGCGTCTGGGGAGGGGGGGCTCGTTCTCCCCTTCCTGGGACAGCCAAAGACTGAGTACCATCAGTTCTGAGATGGTGAGACCAATCCACAGCCTCCACCGGTTGCCTGTAGGTTTGGATCGGTGGAGAATTCCATCTGTTGGGACATTTGCTGCATCATAACAGTTGCTGGATTTCCTTCAGGCAACAGATGAAGAACTCTGTCTACCGAAGCCGGCAGTCTCTGAACAGCCCAAGTCCAGGGGAAACCGAGATGGACCTTCTGGTCACACGGGAGCGACCCCGGCGTGGCATCCGGAACAGTGGGTATGATGTAAGTGTCTGTTGGGCAGGGGTGGGTGCAAGCTTGCCCCAGAAAGCCAGGGTTACAGCACCCCAGAGGGTTCCAGTTTGCCACGTTTGGAGAGTTTCAAGATGCTCTGCAATGTTTTGCTTTACTTTCGTTTTATGTTGGAGGAGGGGAGGGTGTCAGTGGCAGGGGAGGCGGTGGTTGTTTGTTTTCCTCTTTTGCAAAGTCAGCTGCTTGGAACATGTGAGAGTGATCGTGATTTCTAATTGTTCTATTCTGCGAACAGTGTATTACTGACCTGAAATTCGAGGGAGGGTGTAAATGGTCTTAATTCCTTCCCTTTCCTAGAAGGAGCATGGTAAGAGCTGTAACAGTACATGAGTGTGTGGACACTGGCTGCTTTAATCTGTAACAGTTTTGAGAATGTGGATCTGTTCCAGGTTTCATAACTCCTCAGTGAGCCATAGAAACAATGAGAAGCCCGGCAGTGAGAGCCAGTTCCATGTGACAGGCCTGGGCTCAGTGATGTGTCCAGACTGCAAATGCTCCTCCATCCCATCAGGTTTCTCCACATGAGGAGGCTCTATCCGGTGCCTGCCCTCAAGATGGAGCCATCCTGAGCCTGGAGTTGCACCCGTGAGCTCATGTGAATGGTTTGAGTTCCACATTTGAGATGGAGATGCACACTGCTCCTTTCTCTGCCCCACAATGTCAAAGAGTCATCATGTATTCGCAGTTTCGTGAAAAAGATGCTTCTTTCCCATTCTCTTAAATATTTATTTAATTACAAATTAATTTTTCTGTAACAAGAGTAATAATTCAGATCCTAGAGACAATTTGAGAGGTGGTGATTTGAACAGGACATTTGTTTTTTAAAATATGTCATGCTGATCTGAAGGCAAGATTTTTCCCTCTTGAGATTTGTTTGGATTAAGCGCTTAAAATGGGCTTTTGAAATGGTACAATTTAAAACAGGTAATTTGAATCCGTGATGATCTTTCTTGATTGAAACCTAACGTTGTGTTGATAGATGTTCATCTCTTTTCTCGAGTGCCGAGCAGTAAACCCAGGGTCTTGTACTCATTCAGCAAGCGCTCTGTCGCTGAGATATGTTCCCAGTCCGCTCATCCTTCTTCTTCAGAGATGGTTACCAATCATTTGTTTCTTTTTCACAATACAGCTTGAGGTTTTCACTTTACAAAACTCTGAACACTCTGACCACATACTTTGATGTCACATCCTTGCTTTTAAACTGCTAAACTCTCCTAGCAGAGGCTTTTTTCCTTTGTAAGAAATATTTCTGAGCTAGGGAGATGACTCGGTGGGTGAGAGGGTCTGCTCTCTCCCTTTGCAAACAAGAGGACCTGAGTTTGGATCCTCAAATACCTGTGTAAAAGCCAAGCACAGCTACAGATGCCTGTGACCTCAGCCCCGGAGGTCAGTGGTCAGCCCGCCTAACCAAAAAGATACGCTTCAAATTCAATGAGAGACCCTGTCTCAAAAACTGAGGTGAAGTAACCTGAGAAAGGGCTCTCCACACAACTGGGAAGATGGAAGTTGAAAGCCCAGAAGTCATGTGCATGCCAGATAGACATGACAACTTGTGTTTCGGGAAGCAGAGACAAAGAATCCCCAAAGCAAGCTGGCTAGCAAGACTTGCCAGTGTCAATGAGCTCTGAGTTTGACTGAAACCCTGTCTTGATGAATAAGGTGGAAGAGTGATAGAGAAAACCTCCCCACATCAACCTCGGGCCTCCACAGGCATACACACACATGTGCATGCCCATATGCATTCAAACACACATCTACATACACATTCCCACACATACCACACACACACATGTGTTACCTCCCACATCTGCACACAAATAAATAAACAAGCAAATGAGAGCCTGGCTTTAGAAAAAATGCCTAAGTTTTAAGTTTTCAACCTTCCACCCTTGTCAAGAGGCCAAGAGCATCATAGAACTTTCTTAGCTTAGGGGACATTTTCTTCCTCTCAAACCCGAGACATGCTAGGCTCTTTATCCAAGATAACAATTAATAGGTTTCTTGTAAGAGTTGAGCAGAGACACTTTTACAGTTATGAAATAGGCCAGAGGTTTCCCTACTTATCTTGAAAGAACACAGCACATTTTTAGCCATGTAGCGTAACTTTAAGCTTCAGAAGGTCAGGTCAGTAAACTACCTAGAATAATAGATTGTTCATCTTTCACAGATGTGTACGAGTATGTACATATGTTTTCATGTGTGTGTATGTGTGTATACTCTCCTTTGAGAAGTATGTGTTATTTTTAAAACATTGTAAATTTCTTAAGAAAAAATGCTCACATAGGAAATAATTCTAAGACTTTAGAATATGGAGTAAGGACTCTCTGGTCTCTTCCTGAGCCTCTTCACTTTTCATGAAAAGCCTTTCTCAACTGCACAGTACAGACCAAGTCCTGTTCTGCTCAATTTATGTGGACTATATAGCTAAATTTTCATGGTTTCCCATCATTATACCCCAGGCAAAGAAGAGGAAACTGGGTCTCAGACTAGATCCATGGTTTGTCTGACTTGCAGGGCTCATGCTCTTAGCCAACATGCAGTGTGAACCCCCAATTCCCCCTTCCTGCCGTGCAGTGTCCTGTATTTCTGAACCTCTGTGGTAGGTACGATGTCATGTCTCAGAGGAATCCTTGTGTAGAAGAGCTTACATATAGATAAAAAGATCAGCAAATAAAGCAGAGGAAGAGCCAGGCAGTGGTGGCGCACACCTTTAATCCCAGCACTCAGGAGGCAGAGGCAGGCAGACCTCTGTGAGTTCGAGGCCAGCCTGTTCTACAAGAGCTAGTTCCAGGACAAACTCCAAAGCCACAGAGAAACCCTTTCTCAAAAAACCAAAAATAAAATAAAATAAAGAAGAGGAAAAAGTGAGTAGTAGTGATAAGCAATGCATTCATTTCCAAGAGTGTCAAGGCTCTCTTGGCAAAAGAAAACCTGTCACATGGTTGGAAATGTGCCATTCTGCTTCCTGGGTCTGGAGATCTCAAACCAGGCCAAAATGTTTAGTCCTTTCTGCTAGGTTAAGGAAGCTCAATGCTGAGGAAACAAAAAAAAAAAAAAAAAAAAAAAAAAAAAAAAAAAAAAAAAAAAAAAACTTGGGGAAATTGATTAGATTTTCATTTTACCCAACGTTGACTACTTTACAATCCCAAAGGAAAAGCCTGCGTATAAAAATAAATGAATAAATACTGAAATGAGCAGGTAAAGTGTGCTGCACAAGCAAATCTTAGCCACAGGATGGAAGGCAGCCTGGGTTTTTTCAAAATTCCTATAGCCTCCTTCCAGCCCACCTCCATCCCCTCAGGGCTTGGCCTCTTGGCTTGGACCCAGGGCCCCCCTAGTTTTTCTTCACTGCCCCTTTCAGCCCTTCCTTCGAGGACATCTCCATTCATCTGTGACTCGGTGACCCACAGAGCCGTTCTGTCCTAGGGACCAACAGCTGCCACGCTAGGCTAGGATGCCGATTACAGCATCGCTTAACCCACATCAGAGAAACTTCTTCTCGCAGAAAATTGCAGTTAGCACAGAAACCCACGAGCGGACAATGTGCAGAGAGTGAGAGTCTTTGGGGCACTCAGCATAAACAGAATGTCTTGATCGGCCCCTCCCCTCAAGGCTTAGGGATCCATCCAGAAGAGGAGGTGGAAGGTCACAAGGGCCAGAGGTGGTGGGTGACGGACTCAATGGAAAAAGTGTCTTCCAGACATAGCAGGACTGATTCACACACGTATTCACAGAGACAATGATGTGTGCATCAGACCTGCATAGGTTTCAGCCAGATGAAATCTCAGCCCTAAGAAGGGGAAGCAGACACAGTCCCACCCTAAACGAGAAGCTATGTGCAATTGATACCTGCCAGGACAGGGGAAATCAGCTTTCTCTGATGGCCTGGCCTGGGGAAATCAGTCACACTCCAGGCAGGTCTCATGTCCAGGAGCAGGTGACAACATGAATGGACTGCCTGTGCTCCTGCGTGTGCTTTGCGTTTGATTTTGGTAATTTCTGTTGTATTAGTTTTTATTTGTTTTGATTTTCATCCTTGGTGGTGGTTTTTTTTTTTTTTGAGAGAGAGAGAGAGAGAAAAAATGAGAAGAGAATAAAGTTGGGTAGCTAGGGAGGTAGGGAGGACCTTTGAAGCACTGCAGGAGAAGAAGAACATGAACAAAATCTATTGTATGAAAACAATCTAAAAATAAATAAATACTAAATGAAAAAATTCCCCATATAGCAAGGGCTGTTGGATCTGCAGCGGAGAGAGCCTTGTGAGAGTTTGGCACTGCCATATTTTGCAGCAACAATTCTGAACTTCCTCTTCACTCCATCAGCCAGGACACTATGTGACTGTGACCTAATTAGTAGTCATTTTCGAAGAGGACACACTCATGATAAAAGGATGAATTATGTTTAAAAAGATGTCCTAAACTAATCACTCTTAACAGGCAGGCTAGATAATTAAGCCACTTCTGGCCTTGAACTTAATTCCTCCTAATGAGTATAGCTCGTAGAAAACAGAATTTCAGACTAATGTAGAAAGAGGGGAAAGCCTCTAAAATTTTAAAACTTTTTGTCTTTGTGTGTGTGTGTGCACACATGTGCATGTGTGAGAGCACATGTTTGTTGTGTGTGGTGCATGTGTGTGTGCAAGTGTGCATGCACCCATGTGTACCTGTGTGGAGGCCAGAGTAAGACTTCAGGTGTCTTCCGCTATCCCTCTCCCCCTACACCCACCTTTCCCCCGAGACATAGTCTCTCTTTTCCTGAACTCAGAACTCACTGTTTGCCATGTAGGCTGTCCAGCAACCTCAGTCATGCCTGAGTCTCCACACCCCCTGCCCCTTGTCCTGGGGTTACAGGTACATATGGTCATGCCTAGCTCCTTTAAAATGATTTAGTTTTAGTGTTTATTCATTTGAATGTGTGCATGTGTATTTGTGTGCAAGCATGCTTGAGCGTGCCGGTACCCACGGAAACAAGAA